AAAAAAAAATTAACTGATTGGTATAAATCGCTACATGGTAATTTAAAAATATTGAAAAAACCTGAGACTTGGACGAATATAGCATTTCTTGGCCTGTGAACCGATACCGTCGAATCGTTTTCCGCCAATTCAATTAGATATTTGGTATCTATTATAATATTATACTTTATAAATTATTATAATATGCCTAATAATATAATAGAAGGGTCTTCAATCTAAATAGAGTATAGTGATGGTTTAATTTCATTGGAACGGAAGGAAAACTGTTGTAATGACAATATTTTAATTTAATATTAATAATAGCATCGCGTTTTAAAAATATGTTGTTTTTGGCACAAGGCGATTCACATCTGCAGTACTTATACATACACACATATACACTAAAATGTACTACTATGTATGACAACACAATGGCTGAATGGCATAATATGCTACATTATGCGTGCGTGTATGCACGTCTAGGCAGTCAGCAACTTAATGTACGAATGTTTACACAGTGGCGATAATGCACGTACGTCGATAATGCAGTTAGAAATCGTCCAAAACGGGTTCGGTCTTAACTGTAGTTGTGTAAGTACAACCATCTCGCGCGGCGTTTCTTATAATAATCGAAACTGAGATTATTAAATTATTATACCCAACCCTCGGACAACCAATGTTTTATCCTGACCGGTCGGCGGATATATGAGCGTTTGTTGTGGTGATGTTCGAAATTTATACTTGAATACGTGTTCGATATAACAATTGCACAAAAACAATTTTATGCACTTAATTATAAAATTGAAAATAAAAAATTATGTTAAGAAATTATAATAAAACTAAAAAAAATAGTTTCGTCAACACGCCTACCAATAAGTTGACTTATAATTAAAGTGTCAAAACACATTTTTATAAAATAAATTCATTAGTCAATTAAATGCATATTATAATCAATGTTATAATACATAAATTAAAATACCCTAGGATATATAATAGGAAAAAAGTAGAAGTTTAGTCTGTTTGAAACACAAGTTAGATTAAAAAAAAATATTAAGTCATTAAACATAACATATTTATTTTATGTTTTCATAACATGTTATAATTTCTTGATCATATAGTTACTACTTAATAGTTAATAATTTTAAATAGTATTGTTTATATTATATTATAGTATGATCATCTTGAGCGATATCATGGTCATGACTATATTATATAGTCAAAATTTTAATTTTCTAAGAATAAAAAG